TAACAAACTTGTTCTTTTAGAAAAAAATGATTAACCTAGTCATGCCTGGATCTCCATGGTTTAAAAAGTGTGCCCAATGCAGCGAGCCCATGCCAGTTTCAGATGGGCATTCAGCCTGCCTAGGGGAGAACCACATTCCCCGTAAGTGTGGGCACTACTCAAAGATGACAGCCCGCACTCATCGAGACAGGGAAATGCGACTTAAAATGTTCCTCTTCGACAAGGCGCTGGACCCCAATGCAGGGAATGCTCAACAGCTGGAGGGGAACCACAAGAGAAGGATTTCTTCCCCAGAGCCACGTGGAGGGGGGGGGAAGGGGAAGAAAAAAGATCTCCCCTGCCAGATCACTCCCACCTGAAAGAACGGTGGGAGGTAAACCTGAATCCTCTGGCTCTGTCCTGTGACCCTCACCATCTGGGTTGGGGACTAAAGGGAAAAAGGCTGCGGTATCCGATAGAGCTTACTCTGTGCCAAAAGCAGCCTTGGTGCCGAAAAATGGCGCCTGTGTTACAAAGGTGCCGGCACCGCACCGGTTAACTTCTAAAGCTGAGCAGAAAATAGCGCAGGAAGCAGCGGCACTGGAGGGAACTCTCCTGGCACCGGCAACACAGCAAGCAATGTTGCCAGCGCTGAAGGCAGCCTCTGTGCAGACAAGCGGTGCACATCCTTCAAAGTCCCCAGCATCTCTCCATTCAGCCCAGCAAGCAGCGCCAGAGCAGCAGACAACCGCGGGGGCAGCTGTGGCACCAGAGGGAACTCTTCCGGAACTGGCATCACAACAAATACTGTTGCTGGAGCTACCTGGTGCTTCCCAGTTCCAAACAGCCCTGGCGCCGGCATATATAATGGTGCTGCAGCTGATTGAAAGACCTGCACCAGAGCAGGAGCTGGAACCAGGGTTTATTCAGGCTGAGCCTCCATCAAAGGCATCAGTTAAAGCACAGGGACAGAGATTTTCACCAGATTCTTCTCCTTCTTCTCCGATGTATGCCTCACCTCTGCACCATACCTACCGGCACCACAGCCCAAGACACCAGGTCTATTATAGACAGTATTCTCCATATGGCCGCCCACATTACAGCGACTACTATTGGCACTGATCCTACTCGCCACCAAATGGATGATCGCCACGTTATTACTATTCCCTGTGTATCAGTCACAAGAGGCGACATACCAGTAATAGATCGTTCAGGTGCTCGTCGCCTCATCTGTCAAATCGATATTATGAGTATCGCCATCCTCCTCCGTACTCATCACATTCCCATTCCCATCACCGTATGCATCAACAGTCTTCACCGTATGCATCAACAATCCACTGTCAGTGGGGCACACTCCGCCACAGCAGCACTGTGACCGTCACCTGACTTCTTGAATACGCAGTCCGGGGGCCACAACACAACAGTCAGACCTGGAAGACAGGCAGTTGTCTGAAGTGGATGACCATCAGACTGAAAGTCCAGTTCCTGACCGTTCACCCTCTTCAACACACAAAGCGGTTTTCCCACTGGACAGGTCCCCACCAGACAATTTTAAGCAGTTCCAGAACCTATTCAAGTGGGTGGCTCAGTCCCAAGAAATCCAGATAACAGAATCACAAATGAAACAGCGACTGCTGAAAAATTTGCATCCAAGGCAGAGTGGGAAAGTGGCCATCCCTATTGATATGAAGCCATTATGGAACCGGCGGACATCATCAGGTAGACACCAGCTTCAGTACCACCAGCCTGCAGGAGGGCGGACAAGAGAGATTTTGTCTCTTCCAAGAATTTAGAATTCCTCTTTAACCATCTGCAGCCGAACTCGCTGGTGGTAGATGCAGTGCAACAACAGGCCAGGACACCGCAGTATAAGACAACACCAGATGCCAAAAAGTTAGATATATTTGGCAGGGAAGTTTACTCCTCGGCAACCCTTCTCCTACATATTTCTAATTATGCCACCTTGCTATCGAACCACAACTTCGACAGTTATTGAAAGGTATTGCAGCTTCTTTAGTACCTCCCAGAAAACAAGCGCTCTCTCTTAAAGTCCCTTATGCAGGAGGGTTTTACGGCATCAAGAGCAAGTCTGCAGATCTCTTGGATGTGACAGACACAGCAGCTCACACCACTGCAACTGCAATAATGATGAGGTGCTCATCTTGGCTTTCTTCCACAGCAGTTCCAAAGGAGCTTCACACAAAAGTGGAAGACCTCCCTTTCGACAAAAATAAGTTGTTTGCGGAAAAGACGGATGAGATCCTCCACTCCGGAAAAGATTCCTGGTCTGTGCGCCGCACCCTGGGGATGTATACACCCCCTTTTCGGTGCAAGAGATATTACTCCTACAAGAAGAGGTGCAACTACCCCTATCAAAGACAACAACATCAGCAGCGAGCCATAGACCAATCACGCCCAAAACAGCACCACGACGTAGATGGCCCCAACCATTCCGTTTGAACAACCGACAAAATTCCAAACAGCAAGTTTGATGGTTCGATTTGAGGGTATGCAACAAGTCCTTACGGTGATGGAACAACAAGTCCCTTACCTCTTTCACCATGGACTTCGACCTTTTCAAGATCAATGGGCGGCGATTACATCAGACCGCTGGGTATTACAACTGGTGGTATCCGGGCTCACCATCCCCTTCACTGCCATACCACCCACAAATCCACCAACCCCGTCCCTTTTGAAGGACCTATCTCATGAGATCCGGTTGAAAGAAGAGGCCCAGTGTTTGCTCTCCATAGGGGCCATAAAGCTCGTTCTTCCTCAGTTCAGAGGAAGGGGCTTCTATTCATGGTATTTTCTCACAGAGAAGACCAGAGGATGGAGGCCCGTCCTCGATCTCAGGAAGTTAAACAAATACCTCCGCCGTCAAAAGTTCAAGATGGTGACCCTTTCCAAGATAATGCTGTTGCTAGAGAAGGATGATTGGTTTGCAGCCCTCGACTTGCAAGATGCGTATTTTCAGATAGCGATACATCCGGCTCAGACGTTTTCTCTGTTTCATTATCGGGGAAGATCATTTCCAATACCGGGTGCTACCGTTTGGACTAGCATCTGCTCCCAGAGTGTTTTCAAAAACCCTG